CCTCACGGTTTCTGTTTGGTTGGCACAATCTGTCTATGGTTCGTTGTACAAAAGTTGTAACGCGTGGGCGCTTCGCTGACGTCATATGAGAAGCTCGACTCATCATAATTGTCCGGAAACCGTGACGTGTCGTCCCGAGGTTGGCGCTATCCTGTAAGCCAGGATCACCATAGGTGTTTTGTAAAAATGGATCAGCTTCATGCCTGGTGAAATCCATACACGACAATTTACCACGCAATCACAAAATATGTCAACGTATTGAATCAAACACACACTTCATCCACGGATTCGCGAGATCTGTTTGTTTCCGCTAATCTTTCGTTCTGGATCGAACAATTGTGCAAGATTAATACCATATCAGCCCAGTGGAGATATTTAAACACACGACAATCAACCCACCATAATTAGTACGTCCTTGTTGTGATTTCTTGACAAATCAGACTAACGGTCTGAGAATACATACATGTATGCACAATCATTGTGGACTCCACACATTGGTCACGTGATTCTGTGTGTGTGTGCGTGTTCCGTTTCTCAACCAAACTGATGCCTTGTTCACTCCAACATAACAGTGAAGGTGAAAGAGAACGCATTATATTCGTCCCAGTGAATTTCCTTGAGCACTGACACGTTGTTACACGTCAACAGGCATCTACAGTGTAGCACATAATGACACCATATCGGTGATAAGATCACTCAGTCTAGGTCAATTTATGGTAATACGCAAGCTACGACAATTTCGTGTCAGGCATGAAATTGTATTTTCCTTTGTTTATCAATGCATTTTCCCTATCATACTTTATTGTTCACCCGTTATTTTCCCTGAACTACTTAAAAAGTAATTCTTTACTCTACGTCGCGGTTTAGTAATTATCAGCCGTGTTTCTCTTATTTCTTTAAACACTCTGATCAAAAAATTGTGTAATTTGCATATCACTTCATATGAGAATTTCGCTCATAAGATACTCAATGACCCCAGTCATCCACTCAGTCCCGATTTATCTGCTTGCCGTTCCCACGCTTCAGCCCGATCCAATTTTCGCTAGTTGCCTTCCCGCATAAATATTTACCGCAACTCAACGGTTCCCTATGTGGCTCGTATTCTCACTGACACGGTGAGGATCCGTAACGAACTAATTTTAAACTTACAAAGATGAACACCTATTTAAGTTTTATCATTGTTGTATATGAATTTTCATTTCATTTTTTATCCCATTGTAACGGTGAACACATTTTTGAGTGAAATGCAGGCACAGTCGCCTGCATAAATAATCTACAATGATGCAATAATAAAAGGCCAAGTGAAGCGAGGTCGATTTGGTTGAGTCAACCACACATCAGTGAGAAAAGTGCACGTGCAAGTCAGTGACCAGGAAGCAATCGGTATGCCCGCAGACGGAGGGAAGGACACACGTGCAGACGCGATGGATAACGGAACAGAATTGAATAGCACAATTTATATCCGTAGCTCTCTTGGAAATGATCACAGAGAGCTGAATAAAATCTCGTTGGATAGAGCGTAGAATTTTCTTCAAAATATTATCACAATACAGATACTGCGTAGAAACTTGAACAATAATATAATAATACAATACAACACAACATGGTAAGAGGATGGGGTGAATCAAATTTCCAGAGGTGAAATCACCACTTCACTCTCTCCTCTCCACACACACTCACACTCAACCTGGTGCACTTTGACCAGGGAAGTTTGAACCGATGAATCTGTTCCCCTCCCCCCAGCATAAAATGGATCCAAATCCGCCCAACAGTTACCGGCGATGTGATCCGTATGGTCCTAAACTTCTGTTGTGAGACTCGGTTATTCATACTGAAATGCGCATTGATTTCTATCAGGTGCGTCACAACCAAACATCCCTGTTCGTTCGCATCATCAACGCTTATCTTTCCCTATTCTCTAGGCTTTGATTAGCCGCTTCTCTCTGTTTGAAAATTGTTTCCATCAGTATACACCCAGGATACATAACAGGCTCTGGAAGCATTGAGCCTCCGAAAGTCTCAGAAGGGTCGGGCGGGGATGGGTGTCATTGGGTTGTGGCTGGTTACCCCTCTCTTGCACTTCACGAGCAAGCGTCTCAAACAGCCTCTGCTGAGGAAGATCTACTCACTGTCTTCTCGTGCCGAAGTTATTTTCTCCCATCAAAGTGAGAAGACTATAAGCTAGTCGGTGAACCACGGGTTGTTCACCTAGTGAATCTGACTAAAACCTTGATTTTCAAACTAATCAAGAGGGAGCGTACGAACCACCTACACCTTCTTGATTATGGGAGAGCGGTTACCGAGTCGATTGGGCAGAGTGCTGTATTAGACACCTTGGATATGTGACCCCGTCGAAATGGCATATGATCCGATGAATTGGACACCGATCGCGCAAAGGCTCCGGTTATGGATTCCTCAAACAAATTTACCTAATGTGGCCTGGGCAACCTAGCAGTATCATGCTCTTGAGCAAATTATGATTATTTTATTCTTCGTCAAGATTTGTTCGGCACACGGTTTCGCCCCAGCTATATATATATGACAGTTTTGTAAACAACGGTGTTTATTGTTGTTTTTGTAGTTCGGGTAGTATGATTTGATGTTCAGTTGTTCGCCGAGCTTGGCAATCCTATTGCAAACGTTTCATCAGTTCCTGCCTTGAGAATGTTACCTCGATTGGNAGTGAACATCAATATATATATATATATATTTGATTATAAGTAGTGTGTGAATGACTGGACAAAATTTCCCTGGAAGCACACGACCGGTTTCACGGTTCTTGCCGCTCGTTAGGCTCTGAAAGAGCTGTCTATCCAATGGTCACCCGGCGTTGCAAACAAGGTTATTGTGACGAATATATATACAGCATTCATTGAACGTGTTAGGTAAAAAGACTATTTTTACCTAAAACTGCCTATTTTTCGAGTGTCTGCAATTCGGAACATTTCTACTCAATACCAATCTCGCAGAAAATAATCAATCATATCGCGTCATACGGAGACATTCACTCCGTCCGTCCGA